GCTTTTTTAAAAAACTGCTCCTCCAAACTCTTCCATTCTCTACTCATCTCCCAATTCTAAAGCTGCCTCCACATTTTCAGGTATAGTTATAGTAGCAATGCCACTTTGGTACCAGTTTTCTGTATTAGTCTGTTTTTCATTACTGTAATGAAATACCTGAGGCAGGCTAACATTATGAAGAAAACTGGTTTATTCAGCACTAGAGATTTAAGGACAAACCACTGGCATTGGTTCAACTCTGATGAGAGCCACAAGGCACTGTGGCAGACGCATATGCAGGAAGAATAAATCACATCTTAAAACAGAAAGCCAAAGAATAAATAAGTCAAGTTTGTTCTTAACAATAGCTTGCTCTCACAAGAGCTTCAGAGTCCCACAGAACTTACCTTAATCCTTTCTAAGCGCAGTTCCCCAGTGGCCTAAGGACCTCTCTGTAGGCCCTGCCACTTAGAGGTCTCACCATTCTCAGCACCTACCACACTAGGGACTAAGATGGACCTTGGGGTTTGCATTCAAATCATGCCCAAACCATAGCACAAAGCATATACAGAACTCATCTTGCTTCTGAGGAGGGTGCCTACTGACTATGATGATCAAGAAAGCAAAACTTAAAAGTACCAAATGATTGGATGTGGTAGCTCAATAGCAGAGCTACACACCAAGATCAAGAGAAAAAAATATATATAATAGCTGATTACCCTTGATAATAGTATAAATGAAACTCTAGTTATTATGGCCAGTCATTACTGAATACCTAATTAAATCCAACTCACATATACCCAAAGAAAATTGGTTTTGATTATTCCATATATGGACAGTTAGAAAACAGATGGTAGAAATTACTTATTCAGGTTGAATTAGTCTTGAGAGGCTTATAGAAGAGGTGTGTATTTAGTAGATTTGAAAGAAAAACTAGACACAATTTATCAAAGTAAAACTTGTTGGAGGGTAGTACTAAGGGGGAAATACATATGTAGTTGGGGAGTGGTAGAAAACAACAGCAACAATAAAATTACATTTAAAAAAAGGAACCAAAATAAATAGCTAACAACTTTTACATGGTAATATAGATTTTGCAATGTGGGACTATGGACACATGCTATATTTATTACATCTCATTCTTCTAGAAATGAGAGATAAATGGGAGTACAGTTGGCACAATCAAATAATAATTTTTTGCATAATTACTTTGTGCCTTGTATTGTGCTCTACCCTCCCAGATATATTGAAATATGAATTTTATAACATTTGGGTAAAGTATTCAATTTTCTGAGATTTAGTTTTCATTTTTTATTTATAGCCTTATCTCCAATGCTTCCAGTACTTTCTGATACATGGTAGGCACTCAGCTATAGAAAAAGAGAGAGGCAAGGAAGAAGGTTAGTTGACTGAATAAATTAATATTTTTCACAAAAGGTCTGGCATATAGTGGGTGCATAGTAAATTATTACTTGATTTTGTGTCTACCCTCATTTCCTAGCACAAGTCCTCACTATATAGCAGCCACCTGCTACAGTTTGGGTATGGTTTGTCCTCCAAGGGTTCATGTGTTAGAAGCTTGATTCCCACAGTGGTGATGTTGGGAGTTGAGCAGTTCTTCAGTCATTGGAGGAGCTGCCCTCCTGAGGGATTAAGATAACCTTTGGGAGACCCTTGAGATTTTCTGAGAGCAAGTTCTTAAAGAGTGAGCCCCCCCTGAATTGCAGCTTCCTGTTTTAAGGTGTGATTTTTTTCTCTCTCACACATGCCCCTGCCATTGTGATATTGTTCTCCACCTTACCAAAGCTGTCTTTGATGGATATAGCCACACAGTCTTGGAATTTGAACCTTCAGAACTATGAACTAAATAAACCTCTTTTTTTTCATGAAATTAACCAACTCAGGTATTTCCTTATAGTAATAAAACAGACTAATATATCACTTAATAGAAGTTACTGGAATTAATTCATTTTCCCTTCATTCAATAAATATTTATTGAGAACCATAATATTCCAGGCACTATAAAGACAGCAATAAGCCAAAGAAAGAAATCCCTGCCCTGTAAGTTCTGTAGAAGGGGGCAGACAGTAAACCAAAAGCATATACTATGCCAGATGGTGGTCAATGCTGTAAGCAAAATTAGAGTAGAGGCAGGGGTAGGGTGGCAAAGGAGAGAATGCTAAGGTTAGCGAAGGGGTGGTCATGGAATTCTTTTGTAAGTGATATTTGAACAGAGACCTTGAAGGAAGTTAAGCGAGAAAGCCATGGAAGTTTGTAGAAAAATCGTTTCTGGGCTGAAAGAACAGTAAATGCAAGGACCTGAGATAAGAAAACACTTGGCATGTTTAAGAAATTCCACGGAAGTCTGTGTAGCTGAAGTAGTATAAGCCAGGAGAATAGTAAAAACAAAGTCAAAGAAGTAGCAGGAAATGAGTGTATGTCACCTCATAAGGGAGTTATGGGGACCTTACCTTCTACTATGAGAGAGATGGGAAGTCATGGAAACTGGAGCACTCTGAGGAGTGACATGACCTGACTTTGAAAAGATGATCCTAGTAGAAGTAGCAGGATAGAAGCAGGGACCACTTAGAGGCTATGATATTCGTCCAGGTGAGAAGTGTTGGTAGCTTGGACTTACTTGGTAGTGAAAAGTGGTTGGATTATGGGTGTGTTTCAGAAATAGAGCCAACATAATTTGCTAGTAGATGGATATGGGGAATGAAAAAGGAGTGAAGGATATTTTCAAGGTTTTCGTACTTAGCAATTGGAAGAATGAATTTTAATTAACAGTTAATGAGACGGAAAACTGTATGAGGAGCTTTGGTGGGAGCATCAAGAGTCCCATTTAGGACATGCTAAATTTGAGGAGTCTATAAAAATCTGGAGGTCATAGCAGAGTGGAATTAGTGTTTACCAAGGGCTTGGGGATAGTATGGATTTTACACAATATAACATCTACCCATGATTGACTGTGACATATTACATGAGGTCAATATTCCTGTCATATGTGGAATTTTCCATTTGTGGCTTCTCTTAATGCTCAACAAGTTTTGGATTTGGGAGCACGTCAGATTCTCTGGTTAGGGATTTTATATCTATTCAATGGGTATAATAAAATTTCAGTTACATAAAATGAGTAAGTTCTAGAAACCTGTTGTACAATATTGTACGGATAGTTAACAATACTGGATTATTTGCACACAAATTTGCCACCAGTGTTTAAAAAAAAAAAAAAGAAAGAAAGAAATGCAGAATTATAGGTCCCACCAAGATTTACTGAATCAGAATCTGCATTTTAACAACATCCATAGTTATTTGGAATGTACATTGCAGACTGAAATGCACTAGCATAAAGGTTAGAGGGATGTCTTCATGACACCGATTTGCTCTGTAATCAGTCTGTAAAGAAGGTGGTTGCAGCATATTAAATATTGTATTATGTTGAATATTCTCTGTCATTGTAGATGTAATCTTAAAAATGAAAGTTAATTTTAATATAATTTGTCCTTACATTTATCTATTACTTTCCATAGCACTTTGTAAAATCCTATAATACATTTCTATTCAGTGATTTTAAAAAACCTTGAAGTCAGGAAGAAATCAACATGCCAACATAAATTCAAGAGTCATGAGGAGGTAGAGATTGTGTAAAACTATTAAATTGGATGAGACCACCAACAGTGTGAGCGAATATAACAATGAAGAGTTGCTCAAGAACTCAACCCTTGAATATTCCAAGATTTACAAGACAGGAAGAGAGAAGAGAATTGACAGAAAAGGGCTCAGACAAAGTAGCTTCTCTCATAGGTCAGCCAGAGAGAAGTATTTGGGTGGACGTTTGGGTGAGTGAGCAAACAAAGGAACAGACAAAGTAGGCAAGTGACACTAACCCTTTGAGGATAGATCTATAAAATAGGGATGAGGGTCCTGTTGTTACTTCTTTGCAGAGTTACTGCAAGGATTATAAATAATGTGCGTATACCTCTATTACCACAACTAACACATAGAAAGTGCCCAGATTATCTCTCACCAAAAATGTTTGAAATTAGGTTGATTTTGAAATATTTGCATATAAACATAATGAGATATTTTGGCAGTGGGACCCAAGTCCAAACAGGAAATTTATTTATATTTTTTATGTACCTTATACTCATAGTCTGAAGGATTATTTATTTTGTTACATTTGTTTTTTGCTTTTGTTATGGGGGATTGAACCCAGGAGTGCTCTACCACTGGGCTACATCCCCATCCCTTTTTAAAAGTTTTTTTATTTTGAGACAGGGTCTCACTAAGTTGCCCAGGCTGGCCTCAAACTTGCAATCCCACTGCCTCAGCCTCCCGAGTAGCTAGGATTACAGGTGTGCCCTATCACACCCAGCCTGAAGGTAATTTTATACAATGTTTTATCTACCCATGATTGACTATGATCTGTCACATGAAGTCAATTTTCCTGTCATATGTGGAATTTTCCATTTGTGGCATCCTCTTAGTGCTCAACAAGTTTTGGATTTAGAAGCACTTCAGATTTTCTTATTAGGGAAGCTTAACCCATAATAGCCAGTTTTTTATTATAAACATCAAGAAAGCATAAGTGTAGTTTTTTAGTGAATGCTTCAGACTTAAAATAATGAAGAAATCAATATGACTCTGGATATTAAGGAAATTTCTGTGGACAAAGGAGAAACTTGAATCGGACTTTGAAATGGATTTTGATAGGGGCAAGAAACAGCATTCCAGGTGCTGAGATGAGTAAAAGTTTGGAAATGCTTTTAGGAGACCCTGGTGATATAGCAGAGATGCTGCTGTTCAAATGAAGCCTCATTACAGGCGTCAAATTATTTGAAGTTTGTTTTATTTTTGTTGTTTAATTTTATTTGGAAGCTAACATATATTTGTTTATTTTTTCACTCTTATAAAATTAAGCCCAGTAAATATTGCAAGACCGACCAATTGCAAGACCAACCATCCTCAAAGACTCAGGTACCCTCAGTTGATGATGGTTTTTTCATTTGTGCCATCAGGTTTTACCACCATTGAGGGATGTGACAAATCGACCTGAAGTTGGCTCAACTGTGAGAAATAAGCTGGTGCGCCTCATGACACATGTTGACCTTGGAGTCAAGCAAATTGCTGCTGAATTCCTTTTTGTCCTTTGCAAAGAGAGAGGTAGGTTAAACTCTCTTTGCCTCCTGCTTTTTATCTTTTGGAGGGAACCTGAGAAATTTTCCTGTTGGTAGTAGCCATCTTTTTCCACCCTGACCAGAGCTTACTATCTAACATATTAGAGGGGCCGAGAAGATTATATAAATAAACAATTTAAAAACATTTTATAAACTGGGCATGGTAGCACACACCCGTAATCCCAGTTACTTGAGATGCTGAGGCAGGAGAATAACAAGTTAGTGAGACCCTATCTCAAAATAAAAAGGGCTTGGGTGTAGCTCAGTAATAAAGTGAATCTGGGTTTAATCCCCAGTACCAAAAAACAAAAAATTAAAAAGCATTTTATATGCTTCTGAATTCATTAAGACACACCCAGACAGATACATTGCCAAGCACATATGTTTATACTTTCTGTATCTTTAACGCAAACTTCTTAATCTTGATGGGGCAGGACCTGGAGCCATTATGAAAAGTCTGTATAATAATTCAGGTGCTACATCATGTTCAACCACAAGAATGGGATCCTAGTTAGAATAAGTTATACTCTATGTATGCATAATATGTCAAAATATACTCTATAGTCCTGTATATCTAAAAAGAACAATTAAAAAAAAAAAAAAAGAGGTTTAGGGAGGAGAAAATTGGAGTTCCCAGAAAATTTCAATATTCTGTATTAATTTGGGTTCTTTAAATAAAGGATCTCAGATACTCACATGTATTTCTTTCTTCTAGTTTATAAATATCCTAATATAAAATCCCACATAAGCATATTTTTTATTCCATTTTTTTGAAAGACTCAAGTTTTATGAGATAGATAATTTGAAGATGAAAAAGTTTACTTCTCGGGGCTAGGGTTGTGGCTCAGTGGTAGAGTGCTTGCCTGGCACACGTGAGGCACTGGGTTCGATCCTCAGCACCACATAAAAATAAAATAAAGATGTCGTGTCCACCTACAACTAAAAAATATATATTTTAAAAAAGTGCACTTCTCTAAAACTCTTAAGTCAACTGCATTTCTCAACTTTATTTCTAACATTGATCTGAATACTTAAGTTCCTGTTCAGATATGTACTAGCAACATGATTTGATCGTTATCCTAATGGTAATAAGCATAGCTCTTATGAAGTAGAGGTATCATGTGCCTGACATTCTATGCATAAGTCATGTTATTTTCAAAAGAACCCTCTAAGGTTAATATTATTTCAGTTTCTTCTGCTCTTTTGAACAATTTTCTTCCTTGATGGCTTTGAAAAAAGATTGAATTATTATCTTGGAACAAAGTGGTTATCATAATGTCTTGTATATACAAGTTGTCTATAAGTATTGACTAAATTGAATCAATTTTTGTGTATGTACCTGTTAATTGAAAAAGGTTTGTCAAAGTCAGACCTGGTGGTGCATGCCTATAATCAATATGATTGAGGAACCTGAGGCAGGGAACACAAGTTCGAAGCCAGCCTGGGCAAAATAGTGAGACCCTGTCTCAAAATAAAAAAGGGCTGGGGAATGTAGCTCAGGGGTAGAGTGTCCCTAGTTCCAATCCCCAGTGCCACAATAAAAATAAATAATAAGGTTTGTCAAGATATTATAATTAATATGATGTGATAATATTTTATTATTGATATTGTTACCTCTGAGTAGTAAGATTACTGGTGGGTTTTTTCTTTTTTAGTTCTCTGTATTATAATTTTTCTACAAGGAACATGTATCCCTTATATACTTTATAAAAAAAATTTTTTAAAGGCTAAAATGAAGTGTGTTTCTCCTACAATTATTATGTCTAAATATTGCATTAACTAAATGCATAACTAAATATATATATAACTATAATCACCTTACTGATGAGTTAGTGTTGTAGCACATGTGGTATATTCATTTATTATAAATTTTTCTTCCATTTGAAATGGTTGGCTTTATTCCCTTATGGACCCAGTATTTTGTAGTTGTGACTTTGAGCCCAAAAGCAAATCCACATTAGCACAGGTGTATAGATGTATTATTTTGGAATAAAAATCCAGTCATTCAAAAATATTTTTTGAGCTAAACCATGGGATTTTTGAGATACATAAGATAAATGGGTCTCTGCCCTAAGGAGTCACAGACTCAAATGCCTATAGCAGCTAGGCTAGTGATAAAAGTAAACCAGTTGGGAGCTGGGGCTGTAGCTCAGTGACAGAGCGCTTGCCTCTCATGTGTGAGGCATTGAGTGCAAACCTCAGCACCACATAAAAATAAACAAATAAAATAAAGGCATTCTGTCCATCTGTCTATCTACAATTACAAAAAAAAAATTAAAAAAGAAAAAAGTTAACCAGGTAGACTAATAGATATAAGATGATGAATAAAAACTGATACTTTCCAGCAACTCACTATTGGAGAGACAGTGGGGACACTAGGGGGTTGGAAAAGGGATGTTGCAGTTCAACTTCAACTTAACTGTTACCATGAACAATCAGATGTGTTACCAGATCTTCCAAGTTTTTCAAGAGAAACTAGAACACTGGATTGTTACATAAAATCTGTTTCTAAATGTCAGCTAATTCAAATGTAAAACTTTGGGCCAAAAAAAAAAAAAAAAAAAAGAAAGAGTCTACCTTCAATTTAAATCATCAGATTTTTGGAAGTTGGGTTTGGAGAGACTATCAAAATGAAATAGATTTCAAATAATTTGTCAGAGTAACTGAGCTTTCCTCTTTAGGATAGGCATAGCTAAGTTTGAAAGTGAAGGAAGGTACTTTGATCAATGCTCAAAGCTCAGACGGCAAGGTAGAGACTGTAAGCAGTAAGCAAATTGGGTTAGGAACACAGAGAATAGAAGTAAAGAAGGAAATTAAAATAAGATGAGATACAGCATGCAAAATCTTATGGAAGATTAGGCACAAAAGGAACCTTCCAGGTGTCTTAAATACTCATCTGTGCCAGGCAAAGTGGCATCTCCAGCTGATAGTGGCCAAAAGGCTAACTTTGTGCTTGTGCCACCAATTTGTTCTGTTAACCCTGCCATAACTAAACTTTTAGGATCACTCTGCAAATTGGGTTCTTTCTACAGGGAACCTAAAGATAGACTTTATGTAGTTTAATCAAAAGAAAATAATTTGTGAAAATAGTCTCCTACTTTGGTGGGGTTCTCCCCCCGTCCCTTTAACGTATTTGCTCAGAGATTAGACTTCAACTCCCTCAGCATGTAGCCCCCCACACTTACAAATTTACTTTAATCTCCACTTAAGTCTCAGAGGAATAGGTGTCTAGCTTGGAGCTAAACATTCTCTCTTCCTGTTGATCTTTTCTCTTCCTGTCTTTGCAGAAGCTTTGCTTCATCAGTTTTTACTCTATATTTTTTTTCTTTATTCTCCCCATGTGCTTTCCTCAAACTATATCCATACATATCATTGTCCTTCAGATTTTGGCATCTTGTAAGACTTATCTGTTTTTCTTTTCAGTTTCCTTACTCAGTCTTCAACTTGGTAAAAGCCAGCAATTTCTAAGGTCATCTTTATATCTGCCTATAACTCTTCAACAGTTGACAGTGCTGACAACTTGTATTGTTTCTGTGCTACCACACACTTCTAGATTATCTATTGACCCCCCGCCATTTCTTTTCTTTTTTTCAGTCTCTCTTGCTGATTCCTGTCTTTTCCATATTTAATTCCCAGTGCTCTCTACAGTCATCTTCTGGTCTCATTCTCACTTTATTTTGCTCCCTGAGTAATCTCATTCTCTCCTTGGCTTTTGCTTCAGCCTTTTTGCTGAGTAGCTTCCCAAATCTCTATCTCTAGCCCCAATCTTTTTCTTGAACCTGTCATATTTATCTACCTGCTCATTGATATCTGCACTTGAGTTTCTCACAGGTGACTTCAACTAATGTCTAAAGTTGAGTTCATTATCTCCATTACCATTCTCCCCAACATTTTCTTTATCCTTTGGTCAATTTTTCTGGGAAAGTCACATTTTCTATTTAATCGCTAAAGGCAAAAGGCCAGGATTACCCCAAATTTCTTCTTTACCTGCAGATTAATAATCACATCATATATATTTTACCTCCTAAATACCTCTTTTATTTATTCCCCTTCTTTCTGTTCCCACACCGTTACCTTGGTACAGGCCCTTAAAATTATTTTCTTAAACTATTTAAGTAAATCTGTTTCTAGTCAGGTTTTCTTCATTTTATCTTTTACATAGCTAACAGAGGGACTGATATAATCAACAGATATAATCTTGTCATTCCCTCATGTAAATGATTTCCTCATGTAAATGATTTCCTGTCACCGGCATAGTAAAATCCAAATCATGGTTTACCTATATAGTGTATTTTACAGCTGTTTCTGCTTAATCATACTAAATGCCTTATTTATTCATGGGATGCCTTCCCATTTTTGTTATCATGAGGTGAACTTTATCATGGGGTGTCCTTGAAGATCAGCTTGAGCCTCATCTCTGAAGACTTCTCTGACCATCACAAGCAAAGTAAAACATTCTTTCCTTTATGGCAGTTTTATTTATTTCTGTTTTTAAAACTTTTGACATTTGCCATGTTGTCACTCTTTATTGGTTGAGCTTGAATTCTAGACATTAAGTCTCTTTAAGCTAGAGATCATGTTGTACTCATCTCTGGATCCCCCCCATGCTTAACAAAGAACCTTACAGAAAGTGAATGCCCCATAAATGTTTAATAAAAGAGCAGTATTTGTGCTCTCTATAAATCCAGTCTAGAACGTATGCCATCTTGTGTATTTCTCCATATAAAAAAAATAATAATTTCATTATACTGTAGTAAGTTCCCTAAGAGAGAAATGTGCCAGGTAACATGGTAGCCTGACTGAAGGAATGATTAGGGAGTGTGAAAGTCAGAGAGTGTCTTTGCAAAAGAATACAAAGAAATGGAAAATAACTAGTAGATTCCGGGAGGTGGGGGACTAGTTCAAGATGTGAGAAGTCTACAGTATACGAGATTAATTTGGAAAAGAGGCAAAGGCCACCAAATGAAGAGCCCTTTAGACCCTGTTTTGGAATTTGAGTTTAGCCCGTAATGGAAGGAATCATGTTTTACAAAGATGTCTTGAGCAGTTATGTGGAATAAGGAATAGAGAAATGCGATTCTGGAATAAGGACACTAGGTAGAGAAAACTACTAGTATGGATATCTAAAAGTTGCAGTATTTGACCAGAAAGAAAAAGATCTATACAGAGAAAGGAGAATGGTATCTGGGGAGATTGGTTTTGCCACTCTTTTCTTCTTGACTACCTATGTAGCTCTCACTGTGCTGCCCTGGTTGCTCGCCTCTGTTCGTAAAGTACCCTCTAGCATCCTGGTAAAAGAGTAGTGAAATGCTACTTGAAATTTTCTGCCAAAATGCTGAATTATTTCATTTCGGTAACATTTTTATATAACTATATGGATAATTATTATGACAAAGAATAAATTGTGTGTGTGTGTGTGTAAGAGAGTACATTTAGGACCACCAGAAAATCTTTTCTTTGTCTTAGCAGCTTACCTTAATATCCAAGGTCAGTCATTTTTCCTTTTCTACTTTCCCAATATCAAATAGGATATTTTATAGTTTATTCAAAAATAGACTAAAAAATAACGTCAAACATTCCATCAGTGCTTCTCATTGAGAATTTTGCATTCCATTTTTCTCCCTCTCACCCCCACTTTCAAATATTTTATCTCTTTAATAAAAGTTCATTTGCCTTTTAAACTATTGGCTGCGGCCTTAACTGTTTTGAAGGCAAAGTGTGTCTTAAATCATCTTTGTAACCCACACTGCCTGTCACAGAGTTGGCACATGTTTGCTCCAGTGAAAGAACAATAAATATTTTCACTAAAATATCAGGCATTTTTACTATTAACTGGCTTTCAGAAGGATTTTCTGTATAAAAAAGCAGTTATTTGGAATTATATTTACTTTTGTTTAGTCTATTTGGACTTTCATCATGTTTGTGTTCTTAAACTATTTTAATCTTTAGTTAAATGCTTTGTGTCATTTTAAATTGCTGTTAGTTTTTAAGTATTTCATTTAAACCATTTATTCGTGTTGCCACAATTTAGACTTTAATGATTTCAGTGAATATTATTTTTATGGAAGCATTAAATATCCTTATTTATTTAAATAATAATAAGCCTGCGGGAAAAAAATAGTAAGATTGTGGCTGGAGTGTAGCTCAGTGATAGAGCATGTGTTTAACATACACACAGCCTTGGGATCAGCACAAAAAAGTAAAAATGAAAATAAGCCTTATCAGCAATGCTTGCAGTGAGAGCATCAGTGCTATGTTGGTTTAAATCTGTGATCTACATCATCAATGGCTTTGTATCTGAACATGCATTAAGTTCATGTCTGACCTCCAAGAATATTAAAAATACCTATATACACTGAATTTTGATTTCTTCCCCTAGTTTACTGATTCACTAATTTATCTAAATCACTTTATCTTGGGGACCCACTGGTCACAAGATGGGGCATATCAGATTTATTCAGAGGGCTTTCAGGTTACATGATGCCTCTTTAAATTCCAATGTAATCCTATCCAGCATCCACTGAGAGTCATTGGGTGTTTTTTTGTTTGGGTTTTTTTTGGGGGGGCGGGGGGTGTTCCTGAAATAATTCTTTTACCCAGTATTACTAGAGAAAAAGAATGAATTTAACCAGATGCTTTTCTAAATTCCTTGCAGGTATTAACTTGTAGAGTAGATGGTTATTATTTCATTCCTACAGATTTGAAAAGTGGGTTGGTTGCAGGATCTCTTACCCAAGATCAACTAAGTGGTAGAGTCCTAATTGGAACCTTGTCTATCTAGCTCTGGACCTATCTTCTCATTGGGCTTCTTGTGTTTACATATTGTTGCTTTTTTTTTTTAGAGTAGTATATTAGACTAACTTATTTACTAATATCCTTAATTTTCTTATTTCTTACACCTTTTACCTCCTATTCTTACAAAGAATACATTACATACCATATTGGTAAAATCCAAATTTGACCTTTATTATTTCTAGTTTCTTATGATTTCTCTTAAACTGAATTTTAGAAATGTAAGATTTAAGATCAGAAACTTTATTATTGCAGCATGATCCTTACCAGTGACCTAGCAGTCACAGAGGCCCCACTTCTGCCAAAAGTATGTTTGGATCAGCTGTTAAGTTTCTTTTTCTGAAAAAAAAGGCTCTTAGTCCTCAAAACATATAAAACAATTTGTTGAAAGTTCAGCATAACCACTTCCACACACCCCCTCCCTACATTGGGTGTGAGTGGTTGATGATGATGGTAAGCACCCATAAACTCCTGTCTAAAACCCTGTTCTGTTTTGCAGTGGATAGCCTGCTGAAATATACTGGCTATGGGAATGCTGCAGGACTGTTGGCGGCCAGGGGCCTCTTGGCTGGAGGAAGAGGAGATAATTGGTACTCAGAGGACGAGGATACAGACACTGAAGAATACAAAAATGCAAAACCAAAGTATAGTATCAAGTTTCTTTTCACCTAACTATTGCTGTGCCTATCAGTTGGTTATTTGCCTTTCACTTCCTTTGTCTTTCATTTTCCAGTGTTTCTTTTCTCTTGTGGATTTGGAAGCTTTCCTTTTAATGGTGTTTTTTGAGGCAGTTTTATAGCGAGTGCCTTAGAGAATGACTTTAAGTGATTGAGGAAGGATAATATTGCAAGAAATGTTCAGTTGCATGATGTTTTCAACATGTTCATTATCTTCTCTCAAGTACTAAGAAAGCTGGTGATTTTAGAAGTCTATCATCTACTAAAAACATTACTGCTTACTATTTTCCTTCTTTTCCATAAGAGATTTTGTATGTTCTAACCAAGACCAAATTTAACTTGGTTATTTGATATTTCGGTCTTTCTTAGAACTCTAAATGTTAAGTTTCATACATTATGATCAACTCCTTTACATAAAAACTCTTACAAGTCAAAAAATAATGCAACAAAGGAAGAAGTCTGGCTCCACATTGAATTCTAATCAAACATACACTTATGGATCATTTTTTAACAAGTTAAGTCAGTGCACTAAAAAGGCAAATCTGAGACTATGAAGTCAGAGTCAGTGCTTACAAATTAAAATCACTAATTCTCTGCCCTGCCAAACTCCAAGACAAACCACCTATCATTCCTTCTGCTTTCTCCCCATCCTTTTCATTCCCTGTCAACCTCCATCTCAAGTAAATTTCTTAGTTTCTATTCATTAGTAATTATTTGAACAGTTTTTGCTGGATTCCATTACAAAACATTAAAAAGGTATTCCCTTCCTTTTTGGCATTATCAGTAATGTTGAGGTGCTCTGTTTTCTATTGATAGTCTTCTGTAGTATGAAGTGATCAAGGATAGACAATCATAATCTGAAAATTTGGTTTTAGGGGAGTTGTTTTGGTTTTGGGTTTTTTTTTTTAATGTACAAATTATGCCCTGTTGACATAAAAGTAACATAGTTTCAGAAGAGGAAAGAAATGACTGGTCCCCAATAAGATAAATGGCCTATTTCTTGGCAAAATAGGTCTGAGTAGGTAGTGTTGGTTTCAGCATTCCTAGTGCTATCTATTAGACTCTTTAGGATCTTATAGAATGTGTCTTAGGAAAAAAAAGCTTTTTGGACAAGGGAAGTTAGCAGTGACTGTAAACAGTACGTTCTTAAGACTACCACTATTTAGATGTTATAGATTGGGCATTTCTGTCAAGTATTACAAATTCAAATAGAGAAATCATATTCTTTCTTTCTCTAAGTCATCATGCTAAGTTAGTCTTATTAGCTCTTGGTTTTCCCATTCCATTAATTGTTTTTCCATATTAATTTATATCTCTTCATTTGACATGTAAAAATACCCTACTTGAAAAGTCTCACTTTCATGACCCCCACTGCCATTTTTTTTTCTGAGATGGGGGTCTCACTGTAAGAACAAACTCAAACCCATGAGTCCCAGCAATCCTTTTGCCTCAGCCTCCTGAGTATCTGAGATTATAGGTGTATGCCACCACATCCATCTAAACATCTCATTTTAAAATGAAGGTGGAGATTACATTAGGCATTCATTGATTCCCAGGGAATATGGACAGTCAATTAATGCAGAAAACTCAAGAGGTACTCATGGATGGCTCATATTTTTGCATCTCAGTATATATTATCCATTTTATTTGGTGGATGTCTTTTATAATGCTCATGGTCATATGCTTAGCAATACCAGAATGCTACTGTAATAAGAAGGAGCTCAGAGAGAATACAGGAACACTGGGGTCTCTCCTAAGAGTATAGGAAATAGAATTGTTACATAGAGGATTTCATTAGAGCACCTTTTGTTTAAATCAGTAACTGTGGTGTTTGATATTGTTAATGTTTTGGCTGTGTCACAAGAAGACTCTATACTTGAGCTTTACATCTTAACTGAAATCATTTTTAGCCTTTGAACTTGGCTTATGCGGTTCACAGGAGTAGTGTAATAGTATGATCAGAATGATCACCATTGTCAAATATTGTGTCTCTTAAATATTGATTATTACAAATATAAATGTTTTCCAAGTGGCATCATATCTTCTCCCTTCAGATAGATTTGCATCTGTTTTTCTCTTAAATCATTCTTCTTTAAGATGAAAAGTGTGGTGGGACCTTTAATGTGTTAATTCTTCAAATGGTCCTTGTAAAAGCGGTGGCAAACAGAGTACTTTGTAAGCAAGATGACTTTTGTACTCTAGGGAGCTGTCTACAGAGCTCAAAGAACTTGTTACAAAAACTTTTACTCATCTAGTCAAGCTTAAAAAGTCGGCATCTGAAAGGATTACTTATTCTCCTACCCCCTGATTACCCTTCACCAGTCAGAGTTCCCAAGATCTAGTTTGCTTTTCTTATGATGCATTTATTCACAACAGTTGCTAGTATTGGCAGAAGCAGAGAAATTATTCTTCATCCAGTTGGCCCTAGTCCTGTGGTCAAAAATGTAAGTGGATTCTGATTAATGCACCAAGGTAACCTGTAATCCTTTATTGGAATCTGAAACCCAGAATTGCATGGAGCTTACATTCAGGCTATGGGAGACAGCTAATATCACAGCAATTCTTTTTGTGTCAAAATAAATGTATTTAATGGACTGGAAATGACTTTCTGCAATTTGCACATTTAGACAAAATATACTCATAGAATTAAATTACGAGCCACGTAGGTTTTTGGTGTATGTCTATCCAGGTTTGTTAACACTTTCCAATGAAGTTTGATCCTTTATCAGAGGGCAACCAAATGTCCAAATTCTAACTTTTATACCTATTTCTTCTATGTCTCTGCGCATGGAGACCCCTTAGCTGTATAGAAAAAATAAAAGCATGACATAACATTACCTTCTGGCTGACATGGTTTTACATCATTCTAAACATTAATTGAATGTGTGTTTAATGACATTTGGCTCATTTTAGAACAGTGGCTTTCAGACTAGGTACACAGGTGTCTGAGGTGTAAAGAGTCTTTATGGAAGACATACAGGCAAGAGGGTACATATCTCTGAACTGTAAAGAGATGTGTTTATTGAAGGAAAAGTGGGCAGACTCTTTAGGATACCTCAGATATTCAAACTCCACATTAGATCATACTTATATCCAAAGCTTAAAATCTTTTTACTGAGCAAATTCAGGGGCACTTCTTAACTATATTTATCACAGCTGTAGCTATGGAAGTAGCTATACAGATGGTTTCTTAAGCATAAGGCAAGATACTTTTTTTCCTTTTAATTGTCAAGATTTTGTTATGCTGCTTAAGTCAAGTTCTAATATAGTTGTCTCATTATATTTGGGCTACATAAATAATTTCTTTGTTTTTAGTTTTCTTGAAGTAAGTAAATCAAAAACCATGATTTTTCTCTTTGTCCAGTTTGGGTTGTGATGGTATAATTGATATATAATGGGATTTAATTAGCATCTCTAGGAACTGGGATTTATTACTGCAAGCATTCATGAAGCACATCTAAATTCAGATCACTGAAAGACCAGAGTTGAAAATGAAATTATGACTATTTCTGCCATGCACACCAGTTCTAAAAGTTTACCAGCCTTTGTGATTATTACAATAATATCAATTTTGTAATTTCAAATTTGAGCTATTTTCTTTTGTATTATAATTTGGGTTAATGACCATCATTAACCAGATGTGTTAGCTGAACTACAATGCTGAATTTTGCTCCAGTTTTCATTTTCTGTAGATTCACAACCATCAGTTTTCTGCCCTTTATGGCAAGGATAGCACTCTTAATCAAATAGCCTAATAGAAAACATTTTTGAAGTACTATAATTTAAAAAAAAAATTAAGTTGTAGATGGACACGATACCTTTATTTTATTTATTTGTATTGGTACTGAGGATCAAAACCAATACCTCACTTGCACTAGGCTGACGCTTTATCCTGAGCCACAACCCCAGCCTCATAAAGTACTATAATTTAAAAAGACATTTTGGAGCTTTTCTTTCTTGCATACATGCATTTAATATTCGTGTAAATGTATTCAGTATTTATGTTTGTGTGGCAGATACATGGTAAACATTTAATAAATATCTGATAATAAATATCTGACACCCATATTACCTAATTCTTTCCATTGCTAATCTAATGCAAAGACTTGGATTAGGATGTGGTTTCATAATTTATCCTACTTCTTTAATGTGGAATTAATGTGAACATTTATACACTAGTGCTCAAATTACTTGAGACATTTTGAAGAACTGGTTTATCTTCACAGTATCTTATATGTGAATTTAATTATATCAGACTCCACAAGAGCCCTAGTTGTTGTGTGTCGGGGTTTTTAGCCCCCCGTCTCCTCCTGACCAGCAGGAGAAGCCGGGAAAGCACACCCCGAACAGGACTGGCAGCCCGCACCTAGCCCTCCCTTGCCAGAGGACAATCAGGCACCAGGGAGACGGATCTCATTTATAGAGGAAGTACACACAGCTTATATTACTGCACAGAAGCCAATCAGAATAAAGGTCAGAAGGGTGGAGCAAGTTCACGTGTACACCCATCCCATACTCCCTAAGGGAAGGCACAAGCTGTCCACGAGGGCAGCGGAAGAGTCCTGGACCTATCCTGTAGGTGGTCTGCCTTTTCTGTCACCACCCACAGCACCGCCTCCTGGCTGATCACTAGGAGCCGTCCCAGCCACATGTGCGGCCCCAAGACCGGGAAGCGGGCAGCCATGCCCTACAGTTGTGTAGTTTCTTTAGGGAATAAAGGTTATACGTATGTCTCCATAATGATAACTAAATAGAATAAATTACTTCCTGGATCATCTGAGGTCTTTGTTTCTTATTTCTCAGAAAGTGCCTCAGCTATGCAAATAATAATAGCTGGTATTTATTGAGTGTTTAACTTGTGCCAAGCACTGTTCTAAGAACTTCACAAATATTATCTCATTTTAACAACTCTTTGCGGTAGGGTTATTCCCATTTTACAGGTGAGATCAGTGAAGTCAAGTAACTTG